ATTAATAAAATCGCACTCGACGAATTTGAGTTCGACAAGTGAATGTGTTTGAAATGTCAGCGATTCCAGTATTCGATCGAGGAATGATTCATATTGTCGCAGTTGGAGTGAAATTAAATTCTTTTGCGAGATGATTACGCTGCTGTAGTCGGTAATGGAACATTTCTTTCCAAGTTTATTCATTGTCGTTGAACATTTCATATCAATTTTATCCTAATCAATAATAAAAAAATAAAATAATTGCAATCGATGGATCGTAAAAAAAAAATGAATAAAGCAAGATTCGGTATAATCTCACCAAATTTCGTAAACTTCGCGGAATTTGATCTAGAAAAGTTGCATCATCTGCAAAATTACAATCAATCTTGCATCTTTTCGCCATTGCAAGAAATCGATCAAATTCCGGTTCAGCAAGGACCGAATAATACGCATCAGCAAATGAATATTTGCCAAGTGAACAGTTGATAGTGGTGAAATACGTTGAATGTGATCTGACGAAAAGTCGTAGTAACGCGCGAGTCACCAAAATAACTTTATTATCAAGTGTTCGAGTTACCCAGTTTGAATTGCAGAAAGCCCAAGCTGATACTATTAATCTTCCGTAGTCAAGCGTTCTAAGGTAAGCTGGGTATGGAAATTTTGTTGATTGAAGATTTGATTGTATTTTATTCATTTCTTTGATTCCTTGATTTTTCAGATATTCAATTTCTTTATAGTTGAGCATTGAGAGAAACAATTCAACTTGTTTCCTTCCTCTCCGCATGAATGGTCTACTATACAGAAATTGAAGTGCAACTTCAGACCAACTTTTCTTGACCAATAAACAATTATAAATATCTGATACTGGATTGATCCTATTTGTTCCGTTTTCTGGTATCAAAGCCGGGTCATCTTCATCTTCAATAAATAAGTAAAAGAAAATTTCATACAGTATATCAGGAACTAATTCAGGTGAATGGCTTGTATGACTTATTCGTCGTTTCTTTTCAACCGTTCTTTTTCGTCGTCGTAACTTTGAATTATTAGACATCAGTTGTGCTATTAATTTATTTGATCTTTGATTGATTCGATAATCGATTTGAATTATTATTATGATAGCTACGTGGTGAAATGGTTGTAATTTTGTTGCTAGTAACGTTAGTTGCAGAGCTAGTAGAATCACCCGTGTTTTTGGGATTACTGGTATTTGTATTTTTGTTTATTAAGAAATGTTTCTTAAACCTAGCATTTTGAGTTGTCACAAGTAATAACCATAATTTTAAATTAGAATTCGAATTAAAGCTAAATTATCATTGTTATTATTATTTTTTCAAATAACTCACAAAATTATAAATCAAAACTTTTTTATTTTTACGTATAAACATAAAAATATCTCATCAATATTAAACTTCCATACCAAAATTAGAACATCATTTTTGAGGTGTGAGTATAATAAAATAAAAAGATCACATGATCTGTTGTACATCCTTTCGTTTAAAAATTATAAAATGATATGAGAGCCTTTTTTAATTATCACGTGATCCAGATCTTGTAAATTTTATTGGTCAAATTTAATGCTATATTACATTTTCTTAATTTTTAATATGGCAAAAAGAATCACGTGCTTTTTAGCGTAATTCAATTGATATATTTTATTCAAGTTTTATTCGTCTAATATATTATTTTATTCAAGTTTCATTTCAAATTATATATTTATTAATTTAAGTTTTTATTATTTTTATTTAAACTTTATAAATTTTATTTTTATTTTATTTTTATTCAAGTTTTTTTAAATTCTTTATTATAAAATTCTTTAATTTTCTATTTATATTTATTCTAATACTAATAATCTTTCTACTTATATTATAGATTTATATCAACTTTTATTTTCTTATTTTCTAATTTGTATCATAATTATTAGTAATTATAATTTTCTCTTCAAATTTAAAAGTTAATTTTTTTTAATAAATACTTTTATAAATAGTTAATTTATTTTAATATAATTTATTATTTTATACAATTTCTCTTTTTATCTTTTCTATTTGTATTATATGAACTTTATAAGTAATCTGATTATTTTCTTTTATTTAAAATATTATTAACTTAATTATTATTTTTATTTTCTTATATAATTTTAATAATTATTTTACTTGACAAATTATTAATTTTAGCTCATCAATTATTTTCTTTTATTATTTTTATAATTTAATTATTATTTTTTTTATATTTTTTTAATAATTATTTTATTAACTTAATTATTTTTTTATATTATTTTATCAAAAATACAATAAATATCTTATATTTTAAAATTAAAAAAGACTTTATAAGATG